TCTTAGAAAACGTTATTTATAAACTTAGCTTCATATGTTAATAATATTTCTTCAGTAGACGCTACTATTTTAAATAATTTTTAACTTTTTTATCATGCATAAATGTTAGGATTCTCTTGTTAGAGGTTTCCTATTATTTGGTGCTATTTGAGTGATATTTTTGGATATTTTATTGATTAGATGTTTACATATATGTTTCATAATATCTTTTGGCGTCTTTCTTTAGATGATACGTTTGAAAAACATTTTCTTTCCTTAGATGCTTATCTCCATAAGCCATATTTGTTGACTATTTTGATAATTAAGCTTCAAAACTTGGTTTGCTAGACATTTGGGGTCCTAATTTTGTCTTCTCTCTCTTCTCTCATGTTCTCCATCCTCTCATCTTCTATTTTTATGTATTCCTATGTTCAATGGAGTGTGAAGCCTCTCGGATTGATTCTGTTGTAATTTCTTAATTGGATTATGAGATTAGATGAATAAATTTGTTTTTTCTTTTAATTCTTGTTGTGATTTATTTTTATCTTTCTTGTGTCTTTTAATCAAGTAAAAGTAATTATTTTTACATTATAGAAAATTAACATGGTGTTAAATCTACATAACACATCAATTATATGAGTCCAAGGGCTTTTAATTTAAATTGAGAATTTACTTTGATTAAAGTTAGAAACTTTCATTTGATATAATGACTTTTTGCCAATAATTGAGAATGTACTTTGATTAAAGGTAAAAACTTTAACAAGAATTAATCAAGACGGTTATTTGGTTAATTAACTTTTTACTTTATGTAAAAAGTAAAATAATATACATGATTAGACATAATAATATTTAATCGAGATATACTTTGGTTAAATTTACTATAAGTAATCTACAAAGTTTTTACTTTTAATTAAAAATTTACTTTGAATAATATTGATAACGCCAACAAATTAATTGAAAATTACATTTAGAAATCTAACAAAATAATTAATTAAATAATAAGCTTTAGAATAATAAGCTTTAGAATGAATTATTTGAAAAAGCATGGAATCAACTTAAAAGTAATATTTAAAAACTTTATTATTTTAAAACATTTATTTAGTTTTTTAAAATAAAAGAGAAATTATTCACTGTATATTTTATGCAATAAATAAATACATTACTTTTTATTGATATAATGATAAAATCGTTCAACTAAAAAGTAACACCAAAAGAAAATAAATAAATAATAAAATATAAATTTTTTTTATTTATTAAATGATAAAATCGTCCCATTAAAAGGTGATACCAAAATATTATTAAATATTAAAAGTAATACAATAAGATATACATAATTTTTTTAAATAATATTAAAAAATTATGTTCTAGTTATTTTAAAAATAGTTTTTTTTTTAATTTTTTGAGATGTAGAGAACTTTTTTAATTATTTATTTTATCAAATAAATAAATAAATTATTTTTTTAAAAGATAAAATTTTACCTTATTAAAAGATGAACTTAAGAAAAAAAAAGGTTTACTTACTAAATTAGTTCATTTATTTTGACCTTAATTTCTTTTGCTTTTTGTATGATTCAATTTAGTGTTGATATTGTTTTTTTCTCAACTAAGTCCTTATTACTATTTGGTTCATATGGTTAATGATGTCTTTGTAATATTATGGGTAATTTTGTAGTATATTTTTCTTTTTACTTTATTTGTTTTTTTTTTTTATGGATGAGTGATGTTATGTTGAGTGATAATGTCAATATTACGTGTTAGTGTCACCATCACATGTTAATGATTTATATTAAATTTAATTTCTATATATATTTTTAAGTGTTAAGTCAGCATCACATGTTTATGGTTTATATTAAGTTTAATTTTTATATATATTTTTAAGATTAGAGAATGTTGTTTCTATAAAAATATAGAACAGTCAACGCTAACTTAAAAATTATAAAGTAGTTATTTTACTTACCAATAAAAATAAATGAATTACATAACTTGTTCTATTTATGAAAAATTGTAAAAGAATATTATTTATTTTATAAAGTTGATTTAGATAGACAAATTAAGAGATATAAACAATATTAATAAGTCGGTTTAAATTTGATGTGGATATTAGCATTTTTTTATTAATGTTAGAGGAATTAAATTTATAACTAAGCTAAAAAAGGATTTGTTTTATTCAAATATTAAAATTTAAAAATTACAATAAGAATTTTACGTTTACATTCACAATTTTATAAAATAAATAGTATTTTTTATATTTTTCATAAAATAGAAGAAGTTTTGTAGATTTTTTTATTTTTATTGATAAGTAAACTCAATTCAACTAAATTTTTAGTTAGTTAAGTCTAATTAACTTAAAAAAAATCGAACAAATCTTATACGTGGACAAATTAACATTTTTCAATTTTAAACAAAATTTAGATTTAATTAAATAAAAAATATGAAAATCAAATTGAATATAAAACATTAACTCATAACATTAGTATTAATACGTGATACTAATATTAATATTAATACGTAATACTGACTACTTAGACGAAAAAACTTTTAAAAAAGCAAAAATATTATAAATTGACACATAAAACTTAAAAAGATGTGGTTATAACTAATTTAACAAAAAAAATATTAAATTAAGTCTTTATTAAAATAAAATAAATCTATGAATTGATATATCTTGTCTACCTAATGACAAAAATATTTTTTGAGAAAACTCTCTTTAGTACAAGAAATGCGCTGATTACCGAAGGATTATTACCGAAGACCTTTTGGTCATCGATAAAATTGATATACCGAAGGATTTCCCAACGGTCATTTAAGATGGTCATTACCGAAGGCTTTTGCCCTTTGGTATTGGGCAGCGAAGGCTTTTGGCCGTCGGTATAGGCATTCACTTAATGAAATCAGAATTTGGGATCTCCCTCTTCCATTTTCCCAAATACTCTCTGCGAAAGCTTCCCCCAAACTTTCACTCCCAATTTGTCAGGTCAACGCTTTCCACTCTCCCCTGCCCTAATCTTTGTCTCCCTCTGTCGTTCACAATCCGAAACCATCATTGCCATTGTTTCTCACTTTTTCGAGCTCCTATTTCTTTACGACGGTGGTTTGGCGGCGTCAGGAGGTGTTGTCGCTGCGTTAGGGTTGGTGTCGCGGTTTGGGCAGAGCTTCTAGTTGCCGAGGGAGGCTAATCCAGGGGCTATGTGACGAAGTGGCTTTCGCTGCGTGAGAAGGGCTTCGCGAAAGAAGGTATCGGAGGTGCTAATACACCTAAGGTTGTCGCTGCCATAGAGGTAAGTTATTGCTTCAAATTATTGTTTCAAATTATGTACCTTTTGGTGGTTGCCCTCTTTGTGATGCATGTGTGAGTTAACCTGTATATGTGTATTGCTTTTGTTCGCATTGGAGATTTTGTTTAACACCAAATATCATTGGAAAATGATTGCAATTGTAGTAGTGCGTCGAAGGTCGAGTGAAGCTCACTCTAAGGCAAAGGTGTGGTGTTAGGAGGTTGTCTTCGTCCAGGGAGGTTGTAGCATGAAGGTAAGCTCTTTGTCTCTGAACGAAGTGAGCATTAGTGTAGAATTATGGTTAAATGTTGAATAAAAATGTGGTTGCATTAGTAAAATAATGAGATTGTATTATTAGAGTGCTTTGAGTTCATCTTAGGGAATTACATTTCTTGTATTATTGATCCTTGTCTGGGAATGATTGAAACCACAGACTGCTATGGTCATATTAGGTTGAACTACTATTTTTTCTTATATTCCAAGCTATGTTGCATGTGTGAAATATAGTGTTATGGCCAGATTGCTAAAGTGTACGAAGCTTTTAAATGTATTAAAGTCCTGGACCTTTGATTCAGTTTTGCTTGAGTATATTAGAATGAATGTTGTTGTTGTGAAACCGGTCATGATATCATGGTATGTGTGCACGTGATATAGGTTGACTAACTTAAATCTATCCAGAGTACGGGAGCTAATTTATATGTGGATTGTATGATGCTTTGTCATGTTTGTTCTGCTATGTTAGTCCTTTCCTTTTGTTCTATGGCATCTCACTTCTTTGTATGCTTAACTGAATGAGTGCTTAACCCAAGAATGCATCTCCACCACTGATCAACACAAAAATGCCTTTGATTTAAGTACTTCGTTAGTTGTTCCCTGTCTTGTTGATTCGTTTTCCAATTTTAACTATTTGCTTTAACCTATATAAAGGTTTAACTGATCATTTAGAAACCAAAAGACACATGAATGTGAATGCAATATGTTTTGAGTTTAATCCATTCATATTAGGCATTTTACAACTAAATATGCATTCATATAGTTCATTTGTACATTGAATTTTAAAATCTGAAATAATGTTTGATTTTAGAGTTGTAAAACTGTCCAACTTAGCTTTACATATAGGAATAAATAATTTCTGCATCTTATTCTACTTATTTACATGTCAATCTTTGTTAGGTTTGTTTGCCAAAGATCAAGTGAAGGTAGGGCTGGGCTGCCACTTTTACCTCAACAAATCATTATCATATCTACCCAAAATTTCAACTTCGTTAGAAAATCAATCCTTGCAAGTAAAGGATAGAATAAAAAATTAAAATATTATAAATACTACGTTTCAGGTGTTTAAAAATAAAATTATTATATATAGGTTGACAACTGATTAACTTTTATACGATCATATAATAACTACATTTTAATAATAAAATATTAAACTATAAGAATAATAAGTTAATTACAATCCAAATTAATTATTTAATAAAGATAATAAAAAGTTATAAGTGGTGGTAAAGGATAAAACGAGTTGTTAATATATCGTAATTTCTAAAAGTAAGATAAGAAAAAGATAATATTAGGAAGTTTTTTTTTTGTTTTATGTAAATAACTACTTAATAACAACTTTATACTAACGAAATCTTAAATTAAGATAGTTAATTAAAACATAAGTTGAATTATTTAATAAAAATAATTATTGGGTAGTTTATATAAAATAAACAATGTGTTAGTTTGCAAAATCAAACCGTTCCAACATCAAAGACCTAAACAAAGGAATTCGTTTTTTGTATCTAACTTGAAAAATAAAACCGTTGATCCTCCCCCACCACCCTGTTCATTCCAGTTCTGTTTTTCTTTCCCAACACAACAAAGCACGCTCTACAAAACCTTATTAAATGCACCATCTTTCACTCTACCAATTCTCAAAAGCTAACGCAAATGGAAAACCACGTCCACAAATTCTTCACCTTCTTCTTCTTCATTTACCTTCTCGGTTACTTCATAATCTTCCGCAAATGGAGCCCCAAGATCCGACCCGAAGCTTCCAGCTGCCTCATCTCCCTCTTCCATGGCACCCCGGCGACGGTCCTCGCAGTCGTCGCCGTCCTCTCGGCTGAAAACCGCAGCCTTGCCGCCCCAAACACGAACTTCCAGAACCTCGTGCTAGACTACAGCGCCGCCTACTTCGCCGCCGATCTCGTACATCTCGCCACGTTCTTCACCGGCAGCGGAGACCTCACGTTCGTCTTCCACCACTTCGCCACGCTCTTCGTCATCCTCACGTGCCGCCACGTGGCGGTTCACGGGGCCGTGGCAGTGCTCACACTCCTGGCCATCGCGGAGGTCACCAGCGCGCCGCAGAACGCGTGGGCATTGGCCCGGGCGCGTCGGAAGGACGCGCAGTTCGCGGCGAGTGTGGCTAGTGTTTTGTCGGTTCCGTTTTATGGCTTGTATTCTGTGGTACGAGGTTTGTTGGGGCCGTATGTTGTTTTCCGGATGGCGGCGTTTTACTCAGGTGGAGGTGCTGAGGGTTTTATTGCCACGTGGGTTTGGATTTCCTGGGTCGTTGTAGTGTCGGTGGCCATTGCTGCGAGCATTGCGTGGGTTTCTAATCTTTGGATTGAAGTCTACGAAGAAAGATCAAGGAAAGTTGAGGACAAGATAAGATAGTACATTAATGTGGGACTTGATACAAAATTAATAGCTTTCATGTTAGGTCAACTGTTTATGTAAATGTTTTTCGTGTAATAAATATTTGGGTATGATCAAACTCTCTTAGAAAAAAATGAAGAAAAAAAAACTACCTTAGGTGGAGTTCGTGTATAAATGTTAAACACAAACTTCTAATTTATATCTATTTTGTGTTTTTTTTTAGTAATCTTTGTATCATGATGTTAATTTTACATTAATTTCAATGTTAATAATAACATGAAAAAAAAAACAGGCAAGTAAAAGATGGATAGATGATATTAATGTTTAGGTTTAATATTTCAATAGGTCCCTTTTTTTCGTCGAGAATCTCAAATAGGTCCCTTACTTATTCGGTCTCTCAATTGGGACCTTATTTTTGAAAAATTGAAACAAATAAAGGCTTGCTGTCAAATTGAACAAACACGGTTAGACTGATGTGATAGTGTTTTGAATGATGTGGCAAGGGTTAAGTTAATCTAACATGAATATTTGTTTTTTTAAAATTAAAGAAATTGAGAGAAGTTAATTAAAATGAATTGTTTATGAAAATTAGGGATTAGAGAAATCTGAGTGCTTCCTCAAATTAGGGTTCCTTTGGAATCCTCCACTCCAGCAATCCTTCCCATGAGTCTAGATACCTCTCTCCCCATGAGTCAATTAGTACCATCGTTGCGTCTCCGCTCCAGCAATCCTCCCTTCCTCCGTCGCCTACTCCCCCATCGTTCCCCTTCGACGGCGCTTGAATCAGAAGCGCTAATGTCAAACTATTCAATGGTGTCAGCATTCCAAGAGTTAACATTATTCAACCGTTCGCCCTCAGAAAAGATATCGGGGATTCGCTCGTCGGCGACATATGAGACTGGATCTCTTCCTCATCGTCCATATCCTTCATTTTTATTTTCGTTTCTTTAAAAGAAATTTGGGTGAAATTGGTTTGGAACCTTTTTGGAGGTTTCGTTGACGAAAGGGAGTGAGTTGACGGTGACTGTCGAGATGTGCTTGAAGAAACTTTCAACAATAGCTTCTCTTATATGTTCCCTTTACTAGCCGAAGGCTCATCCAGAAACTCTGCAAATTATCCAATGCACAATTGTAAAGGAGCTTTCTATTAATGAAACAACTTTGACTCTACAAACTAAATTTTCATATTTGGGTGTTGATTCTCTTGAAACTGTGAGGCCTCAAATTCTTCCTTCCTTCCATGTTTGTGAATTTCTTCATTTACATATGCTATTTCTGATTGCTCTTTCCTATTTTTCAATTGCTCTTTTTGATTGGGCTAGGTTAGTTTGTTTATGTCTAAAGATTATCAATTGGTGCAAAAATAAGGATGATAGAAGAAGGGATGATGGTTATGATGAACATATGATGGAGCATATAAGGATGATGAGGATATGATGGAGCAGATAAGGATTCTGGGATGGAATTGGTGAAGATGATGATGCTGTAAAAAGGATCCTAATTCTTTTTTAATTTTTTAATTTTAAAATAACTCAAATCCAAATCATTTAATCATGTCATTTAAAAATAAAATCCAACGTGCCACGTCAAATATACAGTAACTACCGTTAGGTCTAATTTAACGGTAAGGGTCTAATTGATGCAATTTTCACAAAATAAGGACCCAATTGAGACGCCGAAAAAGAAGGGGATCTATTTGAAATTCTGGACAAAAATAAGGACCTACCGAGACATTAAACCTAATGTTTACTCTCTACATTTATACTATAATGGTTTGTAACCTCAATGTTCACTATGTGTAGTGTTTCATTTATTATAAGAAATTACGTAATTATTAATAAAATTTTATAGAAAGACAAAAGTGTTAGTAAAATAGTTTTTTTTACTACTTTTATTCACAAAAGTAAATTTGTTGGTATTTAAAGTTTCATATTGACTAAATAAAATTAATTTAAAGTATATATGATGCAAAAATGACTTACTCGAAAATCAAATGATGGAAGTGAACCAAAGCACTCTTCACTAATATGCAAAATTGACACCAACGATGAAACATGACCCAAAGGATAAAATATGACCCATATGAAGGTTTGGTGCAAAATTGTAGAAACCATTTTCAAGCAAGTTAAAGGAGACTTCATGTGTTGGAGGCGGAAGTATGTAAAGATGAAAGAAATGGAGTTTGTGAAACATGTAAATTCTAGAAAAGGAGGACAAATAAGTGTTAGATGTTATTGATGTACATGGAAAAGAAGGGGTGATTAGTGTTATAGGAAAAATTTTCGCAAAAAAGATAGTTTAACAGATTTCTCAAGTATATAAGTGGTTAAGCGTTCTACTTGAAAGTACTATTCAAACTATAAGTTTTCAAACAAATAGTTTTCAGTCGTTTAAATGGATTGCCTGCAGTGTTTTAATAAGATCAGCTCTTAATAAAAGTAGCATTTGATGACCAGATTTGTCATGATAGTTAATAAAGTGTGTGACTGTAGAGTTTGTAAAAGGAGTGTTTAGCAAGATTAAAGAAATACCACACAGTTTGTTTATCATATTGATACGGTCTACCGAGCTACGTTTAGTCTCCTTTAAAACTTCTTAGAGGGTTATGCTATAATCTTCAACAAAATTGCAATTGAGTATTCTCACCACTCCTTGTATCACTTAGCTAGTCACTCTAAATAACCCTCGTTACTCTTACTAGAGTCGAGTTTCACCCACTTCTGATTGTGCAATATTCTTCACCATTCCTGGTATCCCTAGACAATCCAGATATCTTCCCAATATGTTGTCTAGTTGAGTTTCATCCGCTCCTGGATTCCACTAACAAACACGTCTAGCTACTGTTTAACCCCACCGAGTTAAGCTTAAAGTGTTTGAATTCTCTTCAGAATGTAATATCAAATCGAATACAAGTCCTTAGATTGTTACTCTCACAGAGAGGATGTGTATATAATACAATTCAATCTAATAGACTCTCAAGATTTTAATTTTATGAAGCTTGAGAGTATTTTCTTTTTCTTTTCTTCACAAATTTCTTTCGTATTCGTGTTCTTATTCTCTTGCTCTTTTCTTTGACATTCTTCAATATATAGGCTTTCAGAAAAATTTTGTTAGATAATACTTTGCTTTGATCTTCAAATCTTATTAGTCTTGTCGTAGGTAGCAACCGTTGGTTAAAGTCAACTTGTCAAAGCATGCATGCTTTTTCAGTTTCCTATCAAAAGTAGGTTGTACGAACTTTATGGCACGACTTTTGATAATGAGAACATTTTTTGAATGTCTGGTTTGTCTACTTCTGATTTGTATAGGATAGAGCAGGTGGATACTTGACGTAGGTAATCTGCACAGAGTAGAGTAGATATGCATGGAGGCAAATATGCCTTTTTTTTATCACTTTTGTTGTTTTTAAACGTTAAGCATTTAATAACATTTAATGCATGTTCAAAACAACAAAGTGTTTTTCATGTTTTCTACCATTTAGGTAGGATTTGATCGTTTAAGTTTTTCACTAAGATACCAAGTAGTTAATGAAGACTTCACCGTTGGATGAATGATATCGTTTGACACATGGTATCATCTAACCTATGTAAACACTTCTTAAGTTTTCTTTGTTTCATTCGAAAACACATTTAGCAAGGAGTCTATCAACACAAGCTTTTGGATCATCATTCAAGACTTTATTTTGAGGGCTTTTGTGGGTGTCTTTTTTATGGCTTTAAGAGCAATACTTTTCTCTTTCTTGTTTGATCCATCTTCTTGGAGTTCAAGCTCATGCACCTTTAAAATTTCGATCAACTCTTCCAAGTTCATACCATCAAGATTTTTTAATGTCTTGACAACAGTAACCAATGGTCTCCATTCTCTAATGATAGCAACCTTCTTGACTAGGTTGGGCCAAAGCTATAAAGATATTATGGAGATGGTCCCTTAAAGATTTATGGTGTTGAAATGTGGTGGATCATCAAGGATAGGGATTGAAAATGCAGAAGTTATGGTGTTTGTGAGGCTAAAAGCTCATGGCCATATGGTAATTAAATGGTGGTGGTGGTGTTTGAAGGCTCAAAGAGAGGTTAGACCAACTCTAAGAGGAAGGTGACTAGAGAGGCCTCATGTGTTGCTTTAGTCTTGATCTAAGATGAGTAATATAGCCAAAAATGGGCAGTATAACGTTACTCAACATCAAATATCATTACAAGAGAGGATACACCTCTATATATAGGCAAAAGTGTCTCCTAAAAACCCTAAAAGCATGATCTCTCACCTTTACTCTCATTGACGAAAAATGAGGGAGTGGACAAGTGTCCACAAATCCTCTCCAATGAGGATAGCACATGTGATCACTCACAAAATACAATCCTCTCCATTCCTAGAGTGTCATGTGACCACTACTAAAAGAAAATAATCTTCAATGGAAGTATGACACATGACACATACTTTTCACATGGATTGGATGTCTAACTTAAGGAAAACTATATGATAATTAGGTCTTAATACAAACCTTAAATAACCTACACTACATGCCCGAATACAATCGCCTAAACAACCTACACTACATGGTCGGATACAATGGTCTAAACAACCTACACTACTCTTCAAACTATGCTCCATTGATGGCTCCAAAGGTGGTCCACAAGGTAGAGTTTATATCATCTTCAATAATGACTTTCACTCTTCTTAAAAGTGTTTGATCATGACTAGGGATTTTCCATCATCTGGAGAGACTACGTAGAATTTTATTGATATGATCGAAGTTGTCGTAGGATTTTCTAAGGGATCTAAGCTTATTGAAGATCGTATGAAATATACTAAACATGGTCTAAATATTTTCACTTTCTAGCATTGTGAAAAGTTCATACTATACTGAGTTTATTTTTTTTAATCTCGTCAAATTCCTCGCACGTAATGACCAAAGTATCCCATATTTCCTTTGTTATTTGAGAGGATGACCACATGTCCTACCCACATTTTCTTTGCTCATTTGCTCCTAAGAAATCTCAAAACACTCCTCATGTTACAAACTTTTAGAAACCCGCTCAAAACTCTTTCTCTTCCCAAAAAAAAATTTATGGGAGGATGAGATATATTCAATGATTATGTATGTATGCGTTTGCCTGTGATATGTTTTTTATCATGTGACC